ATTCCCTGCACTACTCCTTTTGGAGTCAACCAAAGCTACGACAGTCGAGTGGCGGGACGAGCTACGCAGACGTTTACCGAAGATTAGGAACCTCTACCTCACAATCAAGAGGCGAGCACAAAGAAATCAAATTAGTTTATACTAGCTCGTAAAAACGATATTGGATATTGGAACACAATAACAATATGCAGCTGGTAAATTATTTTCGATGCACTAAATTATATCATTATCAAATACAGACACTACATCTTCATTCTAGGGAGGGGCAATTGCAGTAGCGATCATACTGTAACAGCAGAAGACAATAGATTTGGCAGTAGAATCTTTATTCTGAATTCAACATCTCTTTATGGAGAAACGATGTATACCTTGACTGAAAGCCATCATTTGCACAGATCTTCTGAGTTGTGCTAATTTCACCCTTATTTTTTTTATTTTGATTACAGCTTGATGCCACACCGTATTTTCAGTACAAGTATGGAATTTTCAGCATGTGATATCGGTAGCCCAAATTTTGCAGGCCGACCATAGATATCGGGTGTGCGTCGGCAGGGGATAGAACCCCGGACCATGTGCATGGTCGGCGAGAGTCCCAACCGCTGTGCCACCGACGCACATGTTTTGCAGTAACACTGGTTTATTTTCACTCTTTGATTTCAATCCTATCACTCCATTATATGAATTTTTATGCCGATGAACGTCTCTTTATATACTACTAATAAACACTGCCAGTCGCACTAATCACAATATTTTGAGAACAATCGTTAGTTTAAAAGTATACTTAGGGATAACACATAATTTTTGTATTACTACTCAATAAATGACATTGCCTTTCCACCTACTTTGAATGTTTGTATAAATTACTCATATACCCAATACAGGCTCCCTGTTCTAACTTCTCATTTTTTGCTAGTTTTTACAGTGTCTGATAAAATGTAGTTCGACAGCACTGGAAGAGTTAACGACGGGAAATAATACGTGTATTGAAGTCCAATACATAATCGCTAAATGACAATTCGACTAAAAGTAACTAGCGCTCTCCATTGAATAACCGTGCAAAAACCTAGTAAGCAATAAAACTATTTGAGTGTGTCAAGAAGAAGAACAGCTTTGGCAAAAGCAAAACGATCTTAGTACAAAACACCATCCTCCAATTATTCTCTGCTTCTTAAAATAAAAGCCTTTCAACAAAATTCATCTGAAACATAATCGCTTCCAACTAACATACAAACAGTATAACAGTCAAACTAGGCCAACATAGCATCTAAGCAGTTCAAAGTTTCCGACACTCTTCTCAAAATATTAAGCAATTTTATTAAAAAAGACGACTTCTGTTCAGATATTTTGCAGGTGGGATTCCAACGAAAGAGAGAACCTTCATCTTGTTGCAATAGGCTGAAATGAAAGTATTCCGTTTGTCAGCAATGTAACAATTCAGCCATTTTCAGCGCTCAGAAATCCGGAAACTTAAAAGGTGAGTTTTTAATTTACAGTAAAGAAAATACTGTGTCAAGTGTTCTCGGAGTACGAGATTAAGTGACACCAAAAGCTGTGTAAATCTGTATGGCGTTGATTCCTATGAAGACGCTAGTCATTTTCTAAATAAACTCGTCGTATAGCATTTTGGCAATGCTCAGTAGCATTTAACAGGTTGTGTGTTCTAGCTTTTCATTGTTAATAATTTTATCGAAAGTTGATTTAATCAGTTTTGGAAATATACTTTGACAAAATTACAATGGCTTTCTAAGTGAACATTATCATCACATTCAAGCATTTCCATGAGGCAATGCGGAGCATGAACCTTATTATTCATGATGACGGTGTAGTTTTATCTTCACTAACTATGTCTTATTAGGTGGGAGTGACTTCAATAAACTCATTGGTGATTTTAAAGCCTATTCCTATATGCAGCCTGGTATGATGGAAATTATTGTTTCCTTTAGTTCCTAGAGGAATATAGGGTTTCAGCCGCACGTCTCCATTGCGTTCGGTTCTCTGCCACCGTTTCCCCCATCGCTCCACCTCTGCCCACATGCTTTCATCACCTTTTCACATGACCTCCTCCATGACATCCCACTCTCACACTGACGACCAATTCGCCGCTTTCCGTTCTGATTCCACTCGACAGCCTGTCCTGTGATGTCACCTGGTAGTTTTCTCAGAGTATGAACAATCCATCTCCATTTCTTCCTGCTTATTTGTTGTACAGTCGGTTCCTGCTGGGTCGGTTCGCTCATTGCCAGAGATTCCTGTTGCTGATCTTTTCTGCCCGGCCATCTGATCTTGGGTAATGATGGAAATTAGTAAATCCTCATTTCTGATTTGTAAAGGCGATTCATATTTGATCTTAACATGCTTATATTTCCCTAAACAATGTCACATTCATTAAAATCCCAAGGCCTAATGGACCACTTTTTGTCAAATAGTGGAAGAATGTGATTTGGAACAAATCCGCGGCGAAGTTAAAGTATCATCATAGCTGCAGGTCGGATAATGTATATTTTACTTTCATATTTTATGATAATCTTACATTAAAAAGACTACTTGATTCTACTAAGCTTATGAACTCTGAGAATAATGATAACAGACATTATCTACTGAAACACTAAGTTGGAAGTTATTACCTTTAAACTCGCTTCGTTGCCATGTTAAAGGAAGTGATAGTAAGTGCAACTATGTGAAATTATGTATAGAAATGTGATTGCACAGATTTCAACGATGAAATCACAGAGAAGAAGATATCTTTACTGAATTTTTTATTTTCTCTTCAAAGAATTCTTAAGTAATTTTTCCTCTATTAACATTTCAAACAGTGAAATAAGCATTAAGATAAATTCACACTCAGAATTACAACAGTAATGATTGTTTTCAATTTCGATGAAGAAGTCACTTCTGCCAGATAACCATTTAAAACTAGGGACAGTACTGGATAGCTGTTCCGCTAAAGTTGGAACTCTTCAGTAGCGTGTACCCATGATCCCACCGGAGATTGGTTCTCGAACCTTCAGATTGTGAGACGAGCTCGTTAACCACTCAACCACTGGGACAAAATCAAATTGCCTATTTCTGTTTAATTTCATCGTAGATGTAGTTATGGAATTAACCCTAACTCACTTCAGTGACTCCTAGATTGACTCGATACCAGGGAATAATCTCGTTGACTTAGAATATGTAGACGATATAGTCCTTCAAGATGAAGACGCTGACAAAATACAGAGTCTTCTGAACACCTTGAGCTGCAATCTACGAATGTTTGGCATGTGATTCGCTCCCGCCAAATGTAAGGTGATGTTACAGGACTGCATTACACTGACTCCTAGTTAAGAAATAGGGAGTGAAGTGGTAGAGCACGTTGACGGCTTCACTTATTTGGGAAGTACCATCAGCCCCAACGGGTTGATCACTGACGAAATCTCAGCACGGATACAGAGGGCTAGTTTCGCATATGTCAGTTTACGCCATCTCTGGCATAGACGTGATATCCGGCTATCGACCAAAGGGCGGGTGTACTGCTCACCAGTCCACTCCGTCCTCCTTTATGGCTGTGAGACCTGGCCATTGAGAGCGGAAGACATGAAAAGATTAACCGTCTTCGATCATAGGTGTCTGCGTTCTATCTCCCGTGTGAAGTGGTATAGTAAGGTGAGCAATATTGAGGTTAGGCGTCGAGTGCTAGATAAGAAGGAGAAATCCGTCGACGAGATTGTGAAATTACGTCGACTGAGATGGTTAGGACATGTTACGTATGCCTAGTCATCGCCTTCCCCGACGGGCAATGTTAGCTGACATAGGGTCAGGTTGGAAAAGAGGTAGAGGCGGTCAAACCAAAACATGGCTTCATCAGTCAATGAAATCCACAACAATTAGTTCAAGTCCTGATTGGGGTCCTCGGGACGATAAAAACCAATAACTGGAGACAACTGGTGATATGGCTCAAAATCGTTCTCAATTGCTGGATTAGATGTATCCACTCCTTGTGACTTATATTTTCCAATGGAACTTTATTGTTCTTCGTTATTACTATTCCTCTTGTCTAATATCCCTGTCTACTGTCTCTATTTTGCATTTCTTATCTTGCTTTGTGTGCCAAATGGAGTGTGGTGACTTGAACAGCTGCATATCGGTGTAAAGTTCTATGTTGAAAACAGACAGATGATAGGATGGAACTGCTATCCAGTACTCCCCACTGGTTTACCAATTCTTCTGTAACCAATATCAATCCGTGAGTAAATTTGGATCCAGTTGAATCCCCGCAAGCTGGACACTCGAAAATCAATTAATTATATAACCCCGTGCCGTAACACAACACAAGAAAATTATTAGAGAATAAAAACCGAAATCAAGTAAATTTTTAAAGTTTTATTAGATTTCTATAAATTAGTGTTAAAATAAAGCCTATAAAATGCTGAATATATATATATATATATATAACCCATGTAGAACTATAAAAGGCACATTCTCTTCACACACACACACACCCATAATAACACCGGAAGCCAAGTAATAGTATTTAAACAACCAACCGCATAATAATAGTCAAAAGGTTATTTCAAATATTAAATAAATAAGTATGAATATAATAGTAACAGCAGTAGTGATATAATAAATAATGAGTAGCATAAACTACACGCAAAAAGTTGTATGTCGGGAAGAAAAAATTTGTAATAACAAGTTATAAAAAAGACCAGACAGCCGGCAAAAAAAACAAGCAGCATACGAAGGAAATGCAAAATATCAAAATGAAAAAAATATGTGTATAGTAAATGCTTAGACAAAAGTATTGGACAAAGCAACCTTTGGTATATGCGATATAACACATGGTAAAATTAGTCATAATGTGAATAACAATAATAATAATAACTGAAACAAAGCGAACGAAACTCATGAGATCAGTAGTAGATAAATATGTAATATGAGTTGAAAAATGTCCTTTGGTTAAATGGAGTAGGATGACGTAACACTGATAAGAACAGTATGCGTAATGATTACTATTATTATTACTATTCAAATGCTTCTTTACGAATGAATTTCAAGCCATCCGTAAGGAAATATGATTTTGATTCCACTGTAGATGATGATAATGAAGTTGACTGTATACACTCATTATTATTGTTGTTGTTTGCCTCTCTAGGGACTAAGTGAACTTTTTCTGAATGTTTACCAGTCAGTACATCTAATTCATAATCCTGAGTTGTTGTTGATGTCGCTGCTGCTGCTGGCATATCATCATTAGTAGTAGTAGAAGTAGTGATTGGAATTGTGACAGGCGGTTTAATTAACAATCGATTGTATAATTCTTGACCAGTTGTACTACGGAATTTATGCGATGGAGAATACAAGCAGAGGACAGCAACCACGTATACATTCCACATACCATAAACACCAGTAATGAAAGCTGAGGTATATTCTATGCTTCTTTCACCCCATTTCCATTGATCTTCAGTAACCTATTTGAAAAAACAAAAAGACAAGGAGACGAGAGAGAGACAGGAGATTATACTAGACACTCAGTGTAAGCAACGAAATATTCTGATAGTGAACTGTAAATTCAAACTAATATTAACAAACAGTATAAACTGTCGAATCAATTTCAACAGAATTCATATTGCAAGCCACCAATTTCATGGAAAATTGTTAATTATTTAAGTGAATTTTTAGATTTTTCCCGACGATTGATTCGACCGAAGTGCTCGGTCTCAGGTTGACATGTTGGCTTCTTGTGCAGATGCTTCGACGATGTCTGGGCATGTGTAACTATAGGTTAATTCGTGGATGGTGACTAGCAGTGGAATCCAGAATGCGCATTTCGTCCTGTTTGAGACTCGTCATCTGGATGTACCTGCATTCCGCAGTGAGTGATGACCCGTTGCACAAGAGGTGGCTCTCGTGGCCCAAGTGGTCTAGTGGATAAAGTTTTGGCACTTGAAACTATGGGCACTGGGTCCGAGCCTCGGTGGGAGCATCATCACTCATTGCGGAATGCAGGTACATCCAGTTGACGAGTTGGCGAAATGCGCATCCTGGATTCCACTGCTAATCACCATCGACCAATTAACCTCCAAAAAATTGTTACTATTTAAAAAAAATAAACTTTAAAATGTCTATGAAATAAAATGAAATCAGTGTGGAAATTTGCTGCATTTCAGTATGGGATAAAAAGTTCCAGATCTTCAAAACTATTGTGTCAAATCAGTTCTTCTATGTGGTTTAGGGATTTGATGCTCCCCGTCACGGAAGGCACTTTTAACAGGGAACTGTTAACTTTCACTAACAACTGTCTCCATCGCTGACTCAATACTGGACATTAGATGGATGATGAGAAAGCATAAGGAACTAGGAACTCTGATAAGCAACAAACTAACCAAGAACTCATTGTCCAACAGATATACACAAGGAAATCGAAGGCCGCTGGCTAACATCAATCTCCAGACCACTGAGTGGGAACCAAATAGGAAAAGACGAGTTAAACATGGGTCCGAGGTTGACATGCAGTAAATATCGGCCTATGAGTAATCGTAATACCAGTTTAAAAAAATACTACAAAGAACAGGGTGTAATGAAAATGTGCTGCTGAAACTTTATATTTTATTCGGGATCCCAGAGAATAACTACTACTATTTCAAGTCATATTCTTCAATGAGTAACGTTGAATGAAAGATTAATTATGCGTAGAAAGTTAAGGATTATACCAAAAACAAAATAGTACAAACCTAATAATGCTATCTAAACATGTGCATCATTTACAAAAGTAAACGTTGTCGCTAAGTCGAGTTAACACCTGCACGCCTTTTAAACGACAACTATCCATTCTAATTCCTATCAACAGTTTACCATCTCAACCCTATAGGTGCGCTACTCAATAATTTATGGCAAAAACATGTCATGTGGGGAGAAGACAGGAATACGCCGTACCGATAAGAAGACTAGATGATTTACGTCTAGTGTCACACTAACTCGAAAACCTCCAGGCGAAAAACAACAAGTTAACTTAGAGAAGACGGAAGTGATGGAGATAACCAGCCAACAACAAGCACCAATCACTGTCAACAAAATAAATTTGGAAGAGATTAGTCCCTTCACTTATCTACGCAGCATCGTTTCAACTACAGACGGAAAGGATCAGGGTGTCGAATCCAGAATCGAAAAGACAAGACAAGCCTTCATCACTCTGAAATCAGCTTGGAAATCTTCTGAACTCAGTAGATTTTTATGCACATTATTATTAGCGTTATTGTTTTCTTGACGAAAGTTATTCTGTACAGCTTGTGACCGTTTCTTAGAAAGTTAAGCCATATATCTGCGAATCGTATTTGCACACCTGCTGAGATTGGTTGGTGAGTTCCTCGAACTTCGTTGTTGTTTTTTCTCATGACCCCGATTCGGGACATAACACTGAAGTAAATTGCTGTCTACAATTTTTGGCTTGCAGCTAGCTCTCACCACAAAAGTATGACAATCATTCATAATTCTAATATAAAATTCTTAATAACAACCTGATCAAATATGTCAGAGTTCAAACCAATTGTGCAAAGGCTATAAGATAACTTCTAATAGTTCCATCACTTAAATAAAACAATAATTAACAACTGTATGGATGAAAGAAGAACTGAAAATGGAAGTGTTTCTATGTGATTGGCAACAAGAGCATGTCTATTGTGTGATGCCTAACGCGATACTACCTGCTCGCACAAACCTCGACAGGTGTAGCAAAGTTCGAACAGGTGACTCAATTGGTTGGAAGTATAGCGCTTACACCAGAGAAATACAGTTGCACAAAACTCGATCAGTTCACAAATTATCTATGAATTACGTAATCATTTGATAGTCATTTGAAAACTCAACTATGGTACACACAATAAGGGAAGGAATTCTCCTTTAGAAATGATTCTTTTTCAGTGTTTGAGTCTCAGAAGGAACACTATTCAGTCACTCGCCGGAGAATGCAGGCACATCTGGATGACGAGTCCAAAATAGGACGAAGTACGTACCTTACAGGATCCCACTGCTAGTCACCATCCACGAAATAAAACTGGAAAAAAGTCTACTCTTTTTTCGACATTTCACTAATTGAAGTCAACAATTTTATCAATATGAAAGTTTATATTTGAGATTAACTCGACCAACAATCTTGTTCTGTGCGGATTATTTTCCTTTTTCATGTAGTTTTACAGTTAACTAGTATGCAAACGATGGGATGTTAAATTCTGGCAAATTCATGAACTGTGAATTTAATTTTGGCCTTTATGTATGTAAGTACAACTATCGTCGCATCAACACACGTTGTCTTACCCAAAAACCACTTGCAATTCTATGCAATTGGCAATGAGTCAAACCTATTTATTTAAAGGTTGGTTGTATTATCCGGGGGCTGCCCAAACCTCAGTGAACGCATGACTCTCTTGGTTGAAAGTCATGCGCCCAAACCAATGAATCACAGTTTCATGTATTAATATATTGACACAGTTAGTTTGTAGGCACATAGACTAAAAACTATAATTTACATTTTGTTCTTTTATTTGTGTTTAAAAAGTTCAGCTTTGACTTTATATGACTAAATTATTTTAAGCAACGTTCTTTGCAACTTCTTTACAACTATTTTAATATTATTTTATCATCTGAAACTATGTGTGGGAAGACAAGTTATAGCTGAAGATTTGGTTTTAGTCTTACGAGCTCTAGTAATTTTCCGAAAAATTGGAGGCGGAGTATTTATTCTTTATGATTTTAATTACTTATACAAGGCGTTGCCGATATAATTGTACAGCATTCTGTGCCATTCAAAATGTTACACATAATCTTCGAATGTTCATTAGTCTCTCATTGTAATTAGTGCTGCTGACGTCACTCGGCTGAATGATCGCACGATAAAAATCAACGAATTACTACAACTTTAAAATTTAGGAAATAAAGATTAGTATAACCCAAACTTGATAAATCATGGGTACCAAGAGATGTGCCATACGAAAATGATAAAGCAACAAAATATGTGAGGGAACTAGAGAAATAATCAATCAAGGATATCATTTAGAAAGTAAGTAAGAATATTTGTGAACATTATCCAAGGGATGTTCATTACTTCATGATGTTTTCAGAAAGGGGAGGAAGAAGGAAATTGCAGCACTTTCGTCACTGATAATAATTGTTGGTCGTACCTGATAAGATCTCGAACCGCCAATTCCCATTATCTACTTAGATTACAACCGAACCGGTGAACATAGAAGTCCTACCTAAAAGAACTAAAAACCCTAATTGCAAACCTATGGTACACACGGGCTTCAGAATCAGAAAGAATCGAATGGTGTATGAACCTGTCCGGTCATCAGTGACCATGAGAACGGAGCCCTACTGTCTCATCGAACAGATTCCTAATCAGAGGCTCGGGGAGTGGTCCCTTAAGATAACTACCTGCTTCAGTCTAGATGTATAGGCAGTATCTTAAGCCCTCGAACAAACGATGAGACAACAATCAGTGAGAGACTATAATCGCGTGCTGCCCTATTATACAAATAATGATAACGAGATGAGCTATATAAGAGATCAATATCGATGACGAGAAATGAAAACAGTGGCTTATTTGGTTCCGACCTAGTGACAGTATGACAGTTTACTCGCCTTGAAACACAAGAATCCTGAACTTAATCCTTGAAGGATTTGTGAAAAATCTCATACCAGTAAGTTATTTAATGCTCTTTGGATTTTCAGTAATTCTCTAACTGACGTCAGTCATTGGTGAAGTCTACACTGAAAAACAGCTATTTTTCATTCCTTTACATTCCTCAGTGGAGCACAGGGCATCAAGCTTTGAAGTTTCTGCAGCGCTGGGAATGGAACGCCAGACAATGTGGATAACTGGCTAGCATTCTACCACTGAATTACCGACAAGAAAAACAACTTACTTAATCTGCTAAATTATCAAATAATGTAGAACCGACCGATAAAGAATTAATTCGGAAAAAGGATCTCCTACACACAAAAACCATCAAACAAATAAATTGCTTACCTGATTAAAGATGAAGAATGAGACTGTCAGACCAGCACATATTATTGTATACGTTAAGAGTATCATAAAGCGATAAATAACTCCAGTATAATATTTACGTTGTTCAACGGGCAGATTATTTAATAAACGACGTTTACCCAATATTTGTATAAATGCTTGTACAACAAGTATAGTCAGATAGATCATATAAGCAAATGCACATAGCGCTCCAATGACAATACTTGTTAAACCCATTTTAGCAGCAATTGGATGAGACCATATGCTTAGTGGAGAAAAAGAAGATATGATAAAAAGAAGGAAAAGAAAAACGGATTTAATTGTGATGTGAAATCTGACAGAGACAATTTGGCGTGTGTGACAACCTGACCAGGTGGTCGCCTTCTTGGTAAGGCAGTAAGTCAACAATGCAGCTTGTTCCTCTCAGTCAACAAAATTAAAAGAAACGCAAATAGTACATAACAACAGAACTTTAGGAAAAGTTTCAAACCAAGAGAAACAAGTCGTTTTGTGTTGCCTGGTTTACTCATACAAATTCTTAATAATGTTTAACTCGAAATAAGGTACTACACTCATATTGTGGTGAGAGCTGTCTACTAGCCAAATTGGTAGACAGTAATTTACGTCAATGTTTACGTTTTCAAGATTTGTCGTGAGAAAATATGAACAAGACTGATTCAAAAACCGACCACAGCAGACTTTGCGTGGACGGATGCAGTTAACATATAGATGATTTGACATTCAAGAAACAGTCACAAAGAGATGAAAGATTAACTTTTAGTGAGAAACAACCAATCAGAAGACTGTGTTTGTTTGCTTAACTAATCTATAATAATCTACATGAAAATTTATAAATATGCTTTGATTTCCTTAATAAACGATCTGTTGCCTGGCCCATGTTTTCTGTTGTTACAATATGACTGTTTTCTGAAGTGTCAGCTTGCAGAGATTTGATTGATTTTAAGATTGATCACAAATTGATTTTATTAAGAGAACCGCTGAGAATCAAAGGAGTACTAGATGACCGTTTTGTCTTTCTTTTGGGACTCTTCATGAGTGGGCACTTTTCGAACCAACACTTGAAAAGTTAGTCCAATGCTTACTAGCGAATCACAACAGGATGAAGTTGCCTGAAATTCTAATGAGAAGTCGTGACCAGAGAAGTTCAACCGAGTTGTTTGTGGGGACGAATACTCGCCAATGACATTGGCTATCAGTGGTGCTGAAAATCACAAATTAACAGAAGTTAGAATTGAAGGGCCACTGGATTCCGTCCCAATGGATGAATAATGTACGAGTCCACCTTGTAACCTGAAGGTCGCGGATTAGATTGTTGGTAATGCAGTCATGATCTCGCATTTCACCCCATTTTGTACATACATTTAGCCTAGCATGTTTTGTTACCCCGAAACTCATCCGTTATTCTAAGTGAAAATGTATCCACCACATAACTTGCTATTATCGTAACAATATTTTACCTTATAACTGTAAGAATCTGAAGAGAAATTATTTGAAAGGAATGTTTTTCCCTCATGCCAACTCTTAATTTTCAAAACTACTTATGATGGACGAAGCTTTTAGATCCAAGATATAATCTATCAACATCATACAGACACCCTTGAGGTTTTCGTCAACTGTTACACAGACAAGCAGGTAAAGCCTTATTTAAGTAGATTAACACTATTTGAATCCTTATATGCATATAGTGATTGTTTTCAAAGGAAATAATTAAACATAAATATATATTAACAAATCAAGAATAAACATTTTTCTACTTACCTGTAAAATGGATTGCGTATTTGTACACCACGTTCAGCTAATTCGAATATGAATAAGGCAGTACAACAACCAGCGACAAGAAGTAATCTTGGCCAGTATAAACCTTTCAATCCAAGGCAATTAGTCTTTACACGACTAGCTGGATCTGCCATCATATGTTCACCGGTGAAAACCAGCCAAAAGCAGACAAGTGTAGCATAAAATAAACCTTGACGTATATCACTCAAGACTAACCAAAATGAAAAATTGTATCTATAAAAATGGAGAAATAAATAAGTGATTGTAATTTTAGCAAACATTGATCACAATAAATAAATAACAGCACTGAATCTATATGGATAAGCTATCAGTTAGGATATAATTTAATTTTCGGTACTGACAACCATATATTTCTTATCCATTCCTTTACGTCCCGAGAAGAACATACACCATCAAGTTTGAGCCTTGAATTTTCATTAAGAGTGATGTTGTCCTTTTCAGGAGTGGAGTTGCTACCTCCACACCCAACCAGGCTTGTTACCGGCAAACCGAGGTTCAGGACTCCGTCGACAGGGAATCGAACTCCGGACCACGTACGTGGCTGGCAAACATTCCGGCACCGACATACGACAATCATATACATAATGCAGGAATGTTATTAAACAATGCTGTTGTCTACTTTTAAACATGTGGAGACATTTTCCCGAGAGCTTACAAAATAATAAGTATCTTTCAGGTTGAAAAAAAAACAATCACTTTTTTTGAAAAGTTCCAACTCTAGCTGTTTAGCCCGGAAAAACATGATAACCCTTCTAAAAGATCTGCTTTCCCAGAAAATTTTCGTCCAACAGGAAATTTGTCACGACAATTTCCCACAGATAACAATGCATCATGCACTGAAACCTGAAAAAAGCGAACTCTGAATCTCCAATAGGACGTTCGTTAGGATACGCACCAGTAAAGAGGAAGCTACTATCGATATAAGTCTTACTCCAAAGGAACTGCTAAGGTACATTTATTCTTTAAGACATTCTAGAAATGAAGGATAAAAATAAGTACCAGATATCTGTAATCTCAGTAAGTTTGTATGGCAAGAGTCATATCACTGCAGATGCTGAAACTACAGAATAGTACTGGAAATTACTATAAAGGATTTTGTATTTCCCAATGAATGAAAAGCAAAAAGATATTATCTTCATTGACGTTCCGCTATTTAATGCTAACAGCTTTATCAAAGTAATATTAAACCAGAATTTACAAAATCTCAGCTTATATATATCACAGTTAAAAGTGTTATTTTGAGAGGATCTGACTGGCCACAGAAGTTCATCATGAGCTGACATCGTTTAGAGAACCTCTGGAAAATCTAGAAGTACTGGACAGCTACTTCGTCCTAGTTTGGGACTCTTCATCAGTACGCAACCAACGGGGTTTGAACCCAGTGACTTAATGGTCTACGACGTTGCCTTGCAACCGGAAGGTTCGAACCCCGGTGGGTGTGTACTGATGGAGGGTCCCAAACGAGGACGAAACAGATGTCTAGTACTCTCAGGCTTTCCAATGGTTCGCTAAACGATGTCAGCGCATGATGGAATCCTGTAAACAATCAGAAATCTGACTGACTGAATGGTTTCAACATAGAACTTTGCATCGATGTGCAGCAGTTCGAGTCGCCACATTCCATGTAGCACAAAAAACAAGAGAAGAAATGCATATGAGACAAAACGAACAGTGAGATGGAAGAACAGTATAGTTTCATTGGAAATGTCACAGCCATTGAGAACGATTTTGAGCCATATCACCAATTGTCTCCAGTCGTCATTGGTTTTCACCAACCCGAGGATCGCAACCAGGAAGTCTACACCTCCCAACGTGACTGGCTTAAACTAACTGCTGTGGATTTCATTGACTGATGAAGCCATGTTCTGGTTTGAACACCACTGACCAAATACAGCCAAAAACAATAAATGGCTTATACTCTCGGCACCCTTGTTTCAAATTATTCTGAAGATTAATTCTCACCGTTTATAAGCAATTATACATCCGGAACGCAAACATTACAAAGAGAAATGTTGCACAGAAGTGATTTACTTTATAATATACCTCGATAGATTAAACAGTAGACAAAGATATGAACCCTCCTTTTGATCTGTCGACGTTTAAGCAATCCGCCTTTACACAAAATAATTCAATATGTGACTGTTAAGCAGTATCAAATAGCAATGTTTATCGATAAATTCCATAAAAAACACTTACATAAGAGACAACCATTCAACTGGACAATTCAGGATAGACAAACAAATTCCCAAAGTAAATATAGTTTTTTCTAATACATTTGGAGGACGTTCTAACTCCCTGACACGACTTCCAAAAAACATGAGAGCCAATAATACAATTGGGAATGAAAATGTCTTCAAGGAAAACCATACCTATACATGTATGAAACAAAGGTAAAAATAATGTAAATTCGCCAATAGTCGTATTTGATACCTTTTTGTAACATAGCTACCCTAAAGATAATGGTAATGTACAGTACCTGGACTTAGGCTTTAGTAATATACGCAGTAGCTGTCCATTAAAAAATCTTGTCTAATCATTAAAATTTTATTGGACTTGTACAATACTACTTCACGGTAACTGTTTACAGCTACTGAGGATTGATTTTAAAGACTGAATGGTGAGGAGAATCATTCAGAGAGAGGGGTCATCAGTTTATCTTCAGCATGTGGTTATAAAACAACAGGGGATTTAAAATATATCTCAGTTCTCTAATATTTATTTGTAAACTGAATATGGTCAGATTGTTGGAAACCATTAGTTGAAGACTAAACGGTATATAACACTAAGTGGTTGATAGCCATTTCTAAAAACGGCGTGCCAACGATAACCTTCAAGGAAGCACCAAAGGTTGAGGAGAAACCAAACCATTAACGAATATTTAAGAATCTTAATTCAACAGAAAATAAAAAACTCGATAGTCGGCATTAAAAAGTAGTGATATTTTAGATGACTAGAGAAACCAATACGAAGAACCTATTTTGGAGTAAATGCATTACATAACAAGAAGCAGGTGTATGTTGAAAATCACTGAGATAATTAACTTAAGCGTGCCTGTTTGTGAAAATTCTAACCACCACATTATTTGAAGGTGAGAATCCGTTCCTAATCTAACACTCATCGTAAATTTTTTTCAGAGCATCACCGAGTGGTTTACCTGCATACTATGTAAGAAAAGCGAATTACTTGATGAATTTTCTTCAACTGAGATGGTTAAAAATGAGTTATGCATATTTAACTGATACTCACTAAATCAGCTTGAATATTTTAAAGACGAAAACCTTGAAATGACCAAAGTAAGACATGATGCTAAATGTGACTGAGACACATAACTTCAAGTGTTTGACTGCAGGGAGTTAAAATTGAGAGTTGAAGTAATCAAATGATTTTGATTAAAATCAGTTTGTGTATACAGCGACTTTCTTTGTATTCATTTCATTATTTCATAATAGCGTGGAGAATTCGGGTAGCCACATGCTTTATGCAACAAGCATGATTAATCTAGTACACAAACATCTATATGATTTATGAATTACATAAAGTTCCTTGAATGTAACACTGTTTAGACTACCATGCAATTTATCTGATGGAGTTAATACATCTAGCATTTTTTTCTAAGCTCCAATCCATACCAGCCAGACTCTAACTTAGCAGTCAGTCTTCTAGAACTTCTGTGATCTGTCCGGTTGTCTTCCGAGTATAAATGATGAAATTTATTTGTCAATACTGAAGTACGACTAATAAATAAACATGCAAACCCTTGGATGACAATCGTCCTAAATTTAAAATAACTAACCGGTGGAATACTTAATGTTCATACAGATGAAAAATTAAGTATCCGAAAGGGATGTTTTTATATACCACATTACAAGTCATAGTATTCTGAGGACTAATGATAATACCCAGTTAGCAGGGCTGTAAGTAGATGAGCCGAGTCCAAACACGGCACCCAATGGAAGTCAAGCACCAAAGCCAACGCACCACACACTGGAAATGAAAAGTAAACCTTAAAGACCGAAAATTAAAACTCCCTGGGACAATTTCACTGATTTAATACACAGATAAGCACTAAAATATTTTTCTAAAAAGCCCACCTACCTTTGTAAACCCTCCATTTTGGTGAATCTCTACCATCCATACATCCTGAATGCTTCCAATACCCACGTTAATTTTGCGCTTTTCGTCTACAGGAATTCTCAAATTCAACAAATACTCTTCATGATGACAGCTAGCCAACGTAAACAGCGGTAAAACTTCACAATCATAGTAAAAGCCCTCATCAAGTGAATGCGAATGCCCATGATGACGTTTAGCTTCCGGATCAAGTGTACACTTCAGAGGTCGAACCTCAACTGAACGAGCCAATTCATGCCAAACGTGTCGAGGATCATTACGATTACGGTATCCAAGACGTAGATCGAATGTGATTTCAGTATTTCCTAACTGTATTACAAATGGAGAAAGAAAATTAGAAATTGGTAGTAATGTTCGTATTTCCCATTACAGTGCTCGCTAATAAACATGCTACAGATCACTAAATAGTCACTTAAATATAGTTTCGATAACTTTCAATCATGAATATTTAGGGAAAACAAAAATATGTTGCTCAACAACTACAAGTAGGTTAAAACACTTAGAAATGACCCATACACTGCATGAACGCTGATGCTACTACCTGGCTGATCCGACCGGCTGCTGAACTGTAAAGCGAATCCGAGACATCTGGTGAAAATGAAATACCACGCAATTCACAAAGAACGGAAACACTACTCCTAAGATTACTTCTAAAACAACACCTCAAATTCATATATAAAACAAGTGGACATGATTTTGAAGACAAATAGTATACTTCAGTGTGATTTCAACCAACCAGTAGCAGCCTCTAACAACATATTCAAGGAGAATATATGAAACGGAATGAACAAAACCAAAGCTGGCAGCAGTAACCGGAGCTGGGACAAAAACTCAGCGGGGAACACTGCACAGAATAGACATAAATACGGTAGGAAATGAGCTAATAATGAAAACAACTAACAAACAGTCACTCCTCTCCACCTCATCACATCATCTGAGCATGCCAGTCACGGAATCAACAACCAATCGCAAGAAACCAGTAAATTACAACAGTTTTGGGAATATTGAGTTTAAGTAGACAGGAGTGATATACATGGTGCTCTTCATTGAGAAGTTAAGCAGGATTCCGACTTCTTATTATGGAAACGCTGAATTCAGTGTTGAAAACCTATGAAGTAAGTGGTTTCTTTGCAGCCTTAGGTGGGATCAGACATACGTCAATTTTCCTCTCAATCTTCTTAAGCAGAAGTGAGTATACACAGATCATGCAGACAGATATTCATCAATCAACATGACTTTAATAGCACCAGCCAGTGTTAAGGTTAACTATCATAATCGTGGAAAATAAGCGTCAATACACTAGAGAGAAAAGAACAAGCAGCTCAGCAAAAATATCTTCCCGGCGATTTCATCCTCAAAAGCTGTGCATAAGTTCACATAGTAACCACGTGAATTGATGTGTAAAAATGCAATCGTACAGCTTTTTGAGATGAAATCTCCGGGAAGATATCCTTGCTCAGCCTTTAGTTCTTTTCTCATTACATCATGCGAATCCGATGTGCCGGTGAATCTACACACCTTTAGAAACAAGATGGCGAAGTGAATTGCCGGCCTTCATTAACAACGAAAACCGTCTTTAAAACTCACCTCTTGCGAATATTTCTGTTTGATATCCAGCATCAACACACCCATTACTTGCTGAAACCACCGGGTCATACGTAAATCCATTCCATCTCGTGGGTGTGGGAACTGAGCCATAAACACGATTTGATTAGCGTCCACATTCGGCGGTACAACTTCTTCAATGTCGCCATCTGGAAGCATATCTTGGCAACTTTCATTTGAAAGTGGTCTAGCAAAATGCCACTTTAGAGGGTCTCCGGAGCGGTCTATGCATTTTGACATGATAATTTGATCCGTTGTATTGGGTGCTGGAGCAATAAGGCCACCAATGAGGAAAAAGCAAATCTGCACAACTAACATCAGGCCTCCGAAAGAGGCCAGTTTCCAAACGTTCAGAGTCTCAAGAACAACACCCGCCATCGCTAAGCGGAATAAACCCGGCTGATGTGTGACCTTGAACTTGTTAGGAAACCGGCACACTGTAACAATAGTCGAAGACATTACGATTGTCTAGTCAAAAACATTCAAGAGTATAGAAGTTTATTGAAAATTGGATCACACAGACCACACCAGATATACTTAACCTTTATTTTTATCCCTAATGCCCCAAAACCGTGTCAAAGAATTGCCTCCCTATAGAACATTAGTTGGCATTGCGTCTCTGTTAGTTTTGACCCCACTATAGTTCTCCACTGTATAATTATACTGCATTGGCATAACGAGTGTTTCAAGTACTACTCCTATTGTAATACGTTTCTACATTATCTGATTAAGGGTTATGAGCTCTTATTTAAAAAAACATCTGTTTTCTTGTTGGAAGCAATCGGGAGGAAGCCTTGGACCTACGTTTCGTGCAGGTTGGCACTTGTCACTAAGGCCTATCTTCAACCGTTAAGAAACCCCGTGTCACTTCGGAGATTCGAACCCGCGTCACCCAGTGCCGCAGCTAGGACTAGTCACATTACGCTAGTTACTGACTAGTGTCCGACCAAATATATCTAATACAATCCTAAAGGAGATCAGTCGTGGGCCCGAATAGCGCAGTGGTAACGTCTCTGACCGCAGCGATGGGTGGTGCGGGTTTGGATCTCACAAAGGGACATGAGTTCCTACAAGGTTTCAGGTACACCTTGCTAACTGGTGAGTGGCAAATAACACGAAAACTAGGTCAGGTAAGGCTCCCTGTCGATTGCTTCTAACTAATACTAACAATTCACAGTGCACGATGATGGTATGCATGGTTACCACATTTCTAACTTAACTAACAGAAAGAAAGAAAGGGCTAGACATATTATACTAGTTACTGACTAGTGTGTATTCGAAACATCTGTACTACTGACGATTGTGAGAAACCTTAGACTCAGTCGTTTTAATATAAGGCTATCTGACTCAGAACTCATTTAGAGAAGTTTATGGCTTATATCAACACATTATAAGTAGAAAATTACACAATCATGTTGGAAAATCATGCCAGTGAAATACCTGTGAATGTTATTGGTTTATGGAACAAAACTGCGTTTTTATTTTTTAAGTGGCAACAGTTTGGACTTTCAAAGGAGACTCTTATAATAATATAGGGGATCAAAGAAGGTAGCTAGGTCAGTCACAACTTCAACTATTAGTTTGTTCATATTCATGGATTGAAAAATAGAATGAAAAATTGCATCTTAAACGTAAAAAATGCCTAGTGGCTACGCTGTGGTGTCATTGTGTATCCTTATACTCCTTTCATATCATCGGTGATAAGTGCGCCTTTGAGCAGATGCATGTGTTATATTCTTCCTAAACGAGTTGGGGTGATGTTAAGAAGAGCCTGATCACCGTATTACAGGCTAAAGAGTCAGTGGGTGGCTTGGTCAAAACTCAGTATAGCAGGATGGTTGACTACAAAGCAGTCGTCAGCGCTATTTCTAGTTTAAACAAATTGGAAGCCAGCTGAAATCTGTTCATGCAGCCTAGCTAACTTGTTTCCTAGAAGTCAGAGAAGCCTCCTCCGGAAACTTGCCTTCATGACACTAACTCCGCCACACCTATATGAAAAAGGTAGTAAGTGACGTAAGCTCCCTTCCATTAACAAGCCTTAGGTCGAATCACATTATGTGTACATCTGGTTCATTTTATGCATACATAAGCATCCACAAACCTTATTAAAACTGTTCCAAATCACTTCTCACAAAAGATATGGTCAGTTTCCACACAAGGATAAGAAGTATGATCCCCAGCTACACTTTGTGTGGATAATAAAAACCTTGGGATTTACGGAACCGTACAAGGCCTGAATGGCATATCATCCGAACATATCTACTTTTTGACTAATCAACACATATGAACACAGAGTGTAAAAATTCGATCCATAGATTTAGGGTATTACCGCACCATTAGTGTTTCAGTTTTTTAAGGAATTGAAACTGAAAAGAGAATATTATTTTCGATAACATCATCAGCAGGTTCTACAGTTGTATATACATAACATTAACGTTTAAATAATATCGAATGAATAGTAATATCACTGGATTACAGTTCAATAGTATTAACATAAGAATACACTGCATATCAGAAAAATTAGGAAATAAACTAATACAAATTCATGAGTTTATAGTCTCCACTGAAAACCGGTTAGGGCAGTAGTAGTGACTGGACTTGGTTCTTCTGCACACAGAGCACCTGCTGTTTCAGGTGAATCGCGGTGGCCTCTGCTTTTTGGAGCATGCCGTACCTCGATGTTTTTGGCAATTTATTTTGTATGTGGTAGATGATGGAGAAAGATTCTTCAATGCTGGCTTTGTAGCCGGTTTGAACCAGGTGGTCTAATATCGAACTGTTGACAGTTTTACTACACCTTTATCTAACCTCACTGGTAGACGTTCCCGAGCACGAAAAATCAAGTTCCTAGAGTAACGGCCAATATAACTCGCTCCACAAGCGTATATGAATTGGTAGATATAACTGGAAGTGGCTTAACTAGGTACATCATCTTTCAGTCGGGAATCACCATTGGTCGTGTAAAAAATCTGACTCGAAGTTTGCCGGGATTAAAGGTTCTTTGAATAGATTTTCTTAACTTGCTATTAATTATTTCAGTAGGTGCGTCAACTTTGAATTTCAGTCGTATATAGAAAAGCTACTTGTTTACCAGTGGTGAATAGTCGTTTTTAACTATCTTAGTCATATAAATTCAGATAAAATTTTTCAAGGTGGCTATTTTCAATCAAGGTACCACAGGCAGTCATACATAAAACTAGGGTGTTGACGTTCACGGATGGTACTAAGTATACTAACGCTATATCTAATACCCATAACTTCTATAGTATTCGTTCCGTGTAGACCAAAGACGAAGCCAATCACTGGAAATGATCGGCCAAATTATGAATTTCGCTTAGAGACCGAATCGGAGTGCGATATGATTACTTAACTAGCTGGGGATCGTGCACGAACGAACGAACCTCACACGACAGCTTGGCAAATGGCGTGGATGCTTGAGCGGAAACCTTCAGCTAGACAAATCGACTAAAACAGTGAGGGTCAGCATCCAATGTTCACTGGTGAATGCTGTGGTCAATTAATCTGGGGAATTACCTACCGCTACAGGCCTCATCTGGGGATTATAGAAGATCATTTACACACATTACTCGAACGGTAGCAAGTTCATTATTTTTCAATTGTTAACATTAGAGGTTTTTTTGTTCAGTACTGACGTATGGCCACTTATCATTGCCACTTCTCCTACAAGAGGGTGCAATTTTCATTACACAGACAACTGAGTAATGGTGTTTCATAAAAGGATGTCGGCCTAATTACAGAATCATGCCTTTTCTATTTGCGAATGTATCTAGATGGTGGGAATACCAGTACATTAGTCAACGAGCTTGAGAAAGGTTACACAAATAAACAAAGCCATATGAACAGAGAAGGTTTGGCCCCACAGAGAGGTTCTAAACAATGTAATACATTTTTAATTGCCAGTTAATTTTTGCTTTCTCGTGTTCTTTATTCTATCTGGTTACTGTTTTCAATACCATTTACAGATAATACTGATATTTATAAATTATCTTCGATTTTATTTATCTTTCCCCTGTTTCTTCATCCTCTAATAATTCACGTTCAATTTTTCGAGGTGCTTTGAGTCAGCCTGGGGATTCTTTTGACATGACAAATATCAACTGCTGGCACCGACACTAATCAGGGACAAATCGTAAACATCGATCCGCTTGATAATTATTATTAAACTTAGTAGGGTGATATTTATCAACGACCTGTCTTGTCAACTGAACTGCTCTGAGCTTCTTTACTCTGACGACGTAAAGATTTGGAGAGCAATAAACTCATCGGAAGACTCCGACAGATTGCAGGCTGACCTGCAAACTCTGGGAGACTGGGCTCTCGCTAACGGAATGCCTTTCAAACTAAAGAAGTGCAAATTAGTGCAACTTCATTCCGTCAGGTCACAGAATGTAAATTATTTTTTTTTTTGATTTACAGCTTGATTTCCACACCGTATTTTCAGTACAAGTGTGGAACTTTCAGCATGGATATCGGTTGCCCAAATTCAGGCATACCATAGATATCGGGTGTGCGCCGGCAGGGGTTCGAACCCCGGACCATGTGCATGGTCGGCGAGAGTCCTAACCACTGTGCCACCGACGCCCTTGGTGGCCAGAACTTGAGTTGTGTGCCATCAGAACGCGACCTAGGTCCTATTTTAACAGAAAAGCTAGACACCAGTGTAAATTACACGAGGGATGTCACTAAAGCTTATGCAACTTTACACTTTATGCATAGGTAGCTGGGAGCTCTTACTCCCGAACTATTCTTAACGTTGTATACGATATACGTGAGGCCACTCCTTGAGGCGCATAATATTATTGCTCCTCCGCTACTCAAAAGGGATGCTAACATTCTAGAAAGTGTCCAGAGACGAGCGATAAAATGGGTGATCGGCCTCCACAACAAATCATATGAGGAAAGACTGAAGAAATTAAGTCTTTTCACACTTAGTTACCGTAGTAACAGGGAGACCTCATCACCGTCTATAAGATCTTAAATGACCAGGCCCACACTAATAAAAGCATCCTGCCATTAAGTGATTATAGGCTTCCACGAGGTAACCCGCTAAGGATAGCACACCAGAGACCAAAGACTCGAGTACGTTCACATTTCTTTTCGCTTCGAGTTTGCCGTCTCTGGAACGCTTTACTGGTGGCCGTGACTACGGCGCCATCTGTGGATACTTTTAAGCGGAAGCTGGACAATCATGCAGAAATGCATGGTTTGTGTCTCAATGGCTTTTCCTCTTAAAATTTGAAACCACACTGTCATTGGATAAGCATACAAGTTAAATCCCCACGACCCGTTCTGTCTTCTCTCACTGTGCCGACTACTCTATCTTTTCCTTAGGTCACCTTTATTATTTCACTTATCTC